TTTTTCCTGATTGCCCAGTTCTCGAGTTTCGCCTCATACCGCTGTTTATATTTAAAAAAATGTTTGGAAGATATATTCATAGCCGGAAATGAAAATATGCGATGAACAATAGAAACCTAGTCGAAAGGGAGGCGGCTCCCTTTGAAATACCTCCTTTCGCTATGCCTCACCTACCTCTGTTCCAGAACACAATGTGGCCAGGGGGTCCACCTGCACTTCTATCAGCGCTGAGGCGTATTATTTTTATTCCTTCCTCGGCTGATCCAGGATTTCGGTTCCCATGGGAAAAACAGCCAAATGTCATGTTTCGAAACACGAGCTTGAAGTAAATAAATACGAACAAGGCTGCGGATCTCTCCAGTGTGCTTTTCTTCTTTACATGCCGTTAGTGTTCCACCTTGCGAGTTACGGCCGACGAAAATGTGAGTTTTTTTTTTTTAATCGGCCTTTTTTTTACTGGTACTGGTGGTAGCTAGTAGTACTAATAATTTGGAACTCGGGAAGATGACCTCATCTACTTGGATTCCATCGAGAAATTGCAACATAACATTCTGTCCTTTTTAAAATGTGGACAAATTTATCATTTTCCGCAGCAGATTCGTGCCTTTTGACATCTCCATGATCTGTGATTTCAATTTAGTGTTGCAATTTTTTCATCATTCGTGAATTGTGGCCGAAGCCGATTTCCTACAGTATCCGGCAGCGTCGAAACGAGAAAAGAAGTAAAACGTCGAGATTGGAGTCCGGAACAGAAAGTGAGGATCAAGTACCGTAATGTTCGTGGATTGCGGAAGGGANAGAAATTGCAACATAACATTCTGTCCTTTTTAAAATGTGGACAAATTTATCATTTTCCGCAGCAGATTCGTGCCTTTTGACATCTCCATGATCTGTGATTTCAATTTAGTGTTGCAATTTTTTCATCATTCGTGAATTATGGCCGAAGCCGATTTCCTACAGTATCCGGCAGCGTCGAAACGAGAAAAGAAGTAAAACGTCGAGATTGGAGTCCGGAACAGAAAGTGAGGATCAAGTACCGTAATGTTCGTGGATTGCGGAAGGGATTCATTCCACATCAAGTTAAGGATGCATGGATAAATTATTTTAAAGAATCAATAGGCTAACATGCCATGCATCCATACCTATAACTATCATTACCGAACGCGAGAACAAATTTTAGAGTATCTCGTGTTCATGAATGAAGGGGGCTTTGCCCCTTTGACGATAGTTTTGCCCCTTATTGCTCAGAGTGCGACGAGATCCAATTTTCAGTGAAGTGCGAAAAGAGAATGCGAACGTTTTTAAGGCCGCGATTCTGTTTCCGAAAGCTCAAGAAAAGAAGTCCAAAGTATTAGAACTACTGGCCGCCATTATGTTCTCCTTAATTATCTACAGGTAGTTGGACCAACTGCCTGCGTCTTTGTCGAGTGCGATCCGTTGGAAGTGATGTCTAATTTCATGGCTCGAGAATTTCGCAAGAGAATGCGTGGAATGAAATGGCATCTCGACATTTTTACTGACGGATTCGCCTGGAGTTACCGTGTCCATTCAAATGATGCAATACTGCCCTTTTGTTAATTTTCCCTTAGAATGGCATCTGGAATATTTACTGGAAAAGTGACCCATACAAGGTCTTTTTTTTAAATCTAATACTCATACTTTCGGAGGAAGAATGAGGAAAAAGGGAACGAGTGAGATAAACCTGTGAGTTTTTACCCAATGCACAGGTGTTTTTTCTAGGCTGTTATTGACGGTCCAGCCTTCGGAGAGCAGGGAGCATGCGCACTGCATGGGAGATCTTCGCCCCGTCACATCGCACTTCCTATCGATGAGAAAAAAAAAAACTATTGGATAGGCCTCTATGTTGAGAGTCGTCTGCAACTTTTTCGGCGGATCATTAAATGCAATGTCTCTATTGGGAAACGCCGTCTAACTTACATTGTTGTCTCGAATGATCGAAATATTCTGCCATTGACTCGAGGAGTGAGTTGTATATATTAATATTTTCGATAACCGTTACCCGAGACACCCGGCGTGGCAGTCCTCTCGATTTCCAAGAAACTTTCACAATGCTAGTTTCTAAAATCAGAACGCCTCTTCTGTCGAAAAAGAGATGACGCCAAGAGGCATGAAATAGAATCACGCTTGGATTCCCCCGATATGTGAAAGCAAGATGAAACCCATTGTAGGAATGAAGCATGGATGAAAGCCATCCTTATGGACCCTAAGAACTAGCAGCAAAGGACACAGGGGTGCTTCCTTTCCTTTTGGATGCTAGTAATAAGGCACCAGTCTCACTAAGGAGTGCTAGCGAGCAGGGAAGAACGGTAGGTGTTTAAGGTTTGGTCCCACCCTGAAGTGAGTCTCCTTCGAGCAGCGAGTGCGGTTCACAGACGAGGGGAAAATGAATGTCGTTGACGTGTCCTTTCAGCTGGATTTCTGGAGGGAGTCGTCCATGGTGGATCTGCCAGTGGACATCATGATCAGTCCGAAGGATCAGTCTCGCATTCTCCAGGAACTCCACCAAGCCGGTTTTCATCCTGAAGTCATCATTCCTAATGTTCAAAGGTATTTTTCCCTCCTATACAGCTTAATATTTTATTTATTTTCGCATCCAGGAGGGTCCCGTCTTTGTTCGTCGGAACCCAGACTTGAAAAAAAGTCTACGTAATTTTGTAAGCACTCGGCTAATTTTTTTTTTTGGGGCTAGGAGCAACATGTCTGTGAGGTACCCCAAACAATATTTATTGAAGCCTCTATAGGAAGGTGATAAGAAGCAGTTAGAACGGGCGATTCTCACATCTTCCCACATGCATCAGCTTATTTTGCCTAAACTTTTCACTGATCAACAGAAAACTTAATTTTTTTTTTGTCTCCTTCACCACTTGTGCCTTGGCGAAACGGGAAACTCGATGTGAGAGATCTCAAATTCCCTGGAAGCATTCAAATATAAATTTAGCTCATTCTCCAGCAACCAAGTAAGCAAAATAACCAAGTTGAGCATAACTATGTTTACTTCGGATGACTCGCATTTCCGGATGTGTGGGGGAAAAAAATCAAGTCCTTGCGTCTTCTATCGTGGTAACAATCGCTTACGCTTTCAGGCTGATTGATAACCAGAAGCTGGCTCCGGAAGGGGGAAAAATGGCTTGGGAAGACTACCAATCCTTAGACACGGTAAGCTTGCAAACTCTCTTTTCTTTGCACTCAGCGTGCATATTGCGTATTAAAATGTGAGCAGAAAATCCCAAGAATGGATGGAATTTCTTTCGTTGGCGACAGGATCGGGAAGTGCAAAGGAACGAAAAGCAAAAGAGTAAACCAAAAAAGTTATGACCGACAGAAAAATCAGTAAATCAGTGGTCCACTGGTCTGTCCTTTAATGTTGGGTGATTTCGATCTAAATGCTGCTTCGATTTCGAAGGCTTCATGGATGCATTGGCCATCAGTTCGCCAGAAGCTTACCGTTCTGGTTTCATACTTTCCGACTCTGTGAAACCACACTGAAGATATGAATAATTATACTTCCGGATTGGTACTAGTTTCGACTTTTTTGCTGACTTCTGTCTCAGTGACCATGACCGGGTGTTGCTATTACTATCAGTGCTGGTGTTCGGCTTTATCAGGAAACAATCCTTCTGCTTATGAATGTTAAATAAATAACCACAGGAAATTAAGATGAGGTGAACTTCATAAACCTCCCCCTTCAACAACAAAAAAATGGAGAAAAAAGTATACCAGTTCATGAAGAAGTAAAACGAGAAAATAAGCATCGGCTTCTGCCTGCAAAAAAGAAAATAAATAAAATAAAATAAAACAGCGTCACCCTTAACCACGGCACCTAGGAACCAGAGGAAATGTCAGAACTGACGAGGAGTTCACTGGATATGAAGGTTAAGAGCAAGAGTGATTAAAATACATTTTAAAGCTGTTTGCCCTTTCTTGGAATTGATTGCCAGCAAGCTTTCTCATTGGAAATAGCACTCTTTGCCCTGCCTAATTGAACGCGAATTGATGCGAATGCCTGGAAGTAAAATGCCGAAGAGCATCCCCTACGCCTCATGACGTTACGGAGCCCTGTGTCGGACCCAAGGTTAAGAGGGAATCAGGGTTCCAGACCTATTAGTGCTATCTCCAACGGAGAAAAATAATCAGTTACCAGAGACTGCTTCCCGCCTCGTCACAAAATCGATGCCAATGAGTGGCACGGACGTCGTCAGTCACGTTCGAGGTTCATCTGCAGTATATTCACAGAGCAGTTCGACTTGTGGTGTTCCTACGTATTCCCCCGCGTTAAGATACTGCGCTATTGAAGGTGAAAGTAGGCGTTGGGGTCTCTTTGACGTCTCGGTGTTATCGAGATGAATCGATGGATGCTGCATTCTTTACAGACGGAAGTGCTTCTTTGCTCTCGTGGGGACGTCCTCGTTTTTTTTTTTCGCTCATGGGTTTGCTTTTCGTGTCGCACGACTGCAATATTAATGATCGAGTTCGTGTGAGTTGCATGAATACGGGAATAGGGTTCAGTGGATCATTGCATGGAAATTCGAGAAACACTGACCCAGAACCATCGGGTTGAGTCAACATGCGCTTCTTCGAGACAATTTCTCCAATAGGTTGCACTTCGAGCTAAAAACACTTAACGAATATTGCATCTCTAAAAGATACGTCTTCCAGAGGTTGATGTGAATTACATGGAAATTTATTTAAGAACACATTAATAATGTGCATGTTGAAAAATAAATTAACTAGAAAAGGCAAGAGTTGTGAAAAGACTCCTTCCGCTAAATTTTTGATGGCAGTCATCCTCTCAAAGGTTTCCTTGTTGTTTTCAAAATATTATTTGATTTTAAAGACGCACATGCAATCTAAAAGTTGTCGATCTCCCTTGCTGACGCTTACTTCACTTTCGATAGGAGGACCACTCTGTTTTCTTTGGAGTATACCCATTCTCTGGAGTTTAAGGTTAAAGTTGGAAATTCCTTCCAACTCTCTTTCAGATTTACGACTGGCTGGACTCCCTTCCATTCTTATATCCAGACGTCGTCTCTAATCAAACTATCGGATCGTCATATTTGGGCAAGGATCTCAAACTCGTCCGATTCAATAAAGAGTCGGGACAGCCGAAAATGGCAGCCTTCATCGACGCAAGTGAGTTTTATTGTGACCCTGGGATAACCCGTTCATGGACCCTGAGTGAATTTTCTCGTCTCTCATTCAGGCATCCACCCAAGGGAATGGATCACGTTAGCCGCTTTGACTTGGATCATGAACGAACTCCTTACGAATCCCGCCCATGAGAGAATCCTGGATGAATACGATCTCCACTTCCTCCCTATCGTGAACCCTGACGGCTTGGAATACACCGAGTCTATTGTGAGCTCTTGCAGAGAATTTCCATCTGCTTGCTTTCATTTCAGTTTTGGATCTGTCGTGCTGGTGAGAAAATAAGAGGGAAAAAATCACCCAATAACATTTCCTTGTTGCATTGACCGTATGGGATATTACTCAGAGGCGATGTAAGGGACCTAATCTCTTTTCCCATCCCTCCTCCCAATAAATAATTAGATTTAATAAATTGGTACCCTACGTGTTACCATAAAATTCTAGAAGGAAGCTCTTTTTGCACTTCCCTTTATGTGAATGGCATACTAAAAAAAAGCCATGCACTAAATTTTCATCGTAGTTGCGGCGATTGTAATGCACCAAGAAAGATACGTGGTCAATGTAATTGATAGGTTGATTCCAAATTCATTTTCAATCGTTCTGATATATTTGTATGCATTTGGGCGACGGGAAGTGAAGCTGCAGTCGTCCCTTCTGTGCAAAGTTGACTGCCACCTCCCTTTCAAGTTATATCTACTCGTTAAAGGATTTGGGAACAGTATGAATGTTCCACAGAGAAAAAAAAAGATTCTAAAAGACGATTCGATATGGGTTTCTACGAGGATCAAAAAGTTTTATTGTTGTGTACATCCACAATGTCCTCACATCATGCATTATATGTATGAGACGCTCAATGGGGTTCTCATTCTAGGATCGGTTATGGCGGAAGACAGTGAGCTACTATGGCTCCCCCTTTGGCTGCATTGGAGCCGATGCTAATCGGAACTTCGACTTTCATTGGAATGGTAATTCTATTCTGCATGCTCGATGCATCGAGTCCTTAGGGGGAATGAACGTGCGATTCTACTTTGTACTCCTAATGATCAAGACGTTGACTGTATCAACCAATGCACCTTGTGCAACGCAGGCTCATCACACCAATGTGATGAGCCTGCACCACGTGAGTGATGATGAGTTGGAGCAGTAGCGATATATTGGGGAAAATAATAGTAAAAACATAGAAACTAAAGAGTACCACTTAAGGTCCGTAAACATCGCAAAGGGCCTCATAACAAAATTCGCTTTGCACGGGAGGAAGAATCGAATCATTATCAATACATTATGTGCTTTAATTCGATCAGCTAACACCATTCTATCGAATCGCTAAATTAAATTGTGGTCAGAAGTTTGACAGCTAGAAGTCGTGATTGTGGCGGTCAAGAATGCTTTGTGCGCGTCAAAATCAGCTGTGTTCACTGGTTCCTTTCGTCTGCGGTTGCAGAGGGCGGATCAAGCGAAGACATGTGTTCAGATATGTATCATGGACCTACTCCAGCCAGTGAAGCGGAGACGGCGGCATTGTCTGATTACATCCTGGACAACATGTCCCAATTCGACTTCAAACTGTTTCTTAACCTTCATTCCTTTGCCCAGCTGGTTCTCTTCCCATGGAGTTTCTCGGAGACTCACACCGACGACTATGATGAACTCGTGAGATTTTCTTCTTCAGAGTTCGTAAATGCCCAACATCATATGCACGTGAGCGGCTATAAATGCGTGATGTTTTTGTTTGTGCAGATGGAAGTGGCTGATATACTCGCAAGCGCCCTCGAGGAACGACATGGCACAGAATTCATTTCAGGCACTGCTCCAGATACCCTTTGTGAGTTATTCCTTCAAGCGCTACACTTTACCCGCTTCAGATGTACTGTACATACTAAGCCTCAAGAAGGGTGCGCGAAATGCCTAGCTGCATACTTGCACCTGGTTTCGCTGGTTACCCGCGAGTGAGGGCCGAGTCGTTTGTTTATTTTCAGGCTTTTTATGTCACCATCACTCCATCTTTATTTTAATTTTTTTTTTGCTCTCTATCTTGATCAAAAATTAGGCTTAAAAAGCGATTCTATTTGTATACATGGCAGAAAAGTTTTCTTCCGTTATCCCTCCTGAAAAATTATTGCAATTGAGCGAATGACGGTGTACCTTGGATGAGGTAAGTTGGCTTGAGATGTTCTTTTTCTGCATGGAACATCTTTTCATGACAGCAGTAGCACAATGACATTCTCAAAAAGTTCCACTAACATTTGGCGGAATTTGTAATTGTGCGACGATAGTACAAGTCAGATGAAGTTGCAGGATTCCTCGCTATTGCAGTCATAGCAAGTGGAACGTCGATCGACTGGGCGAAGGGGGTCGCTGGCATCAAGTACTCGTATGGCATCGAGATGAGAGACACGGGAGTCTGGGGATTGCTCCTTCCTCCTGATCAGATCATTCCATCCGGAGAAGAAACCCTCGACGGCTTAATTGCCTTGCTTGACGCCGTCAGGGAACGGTCCCTCTGAAAGTTCTGCCGCTAATGAATAAAAAAAAATTGAGGATATTGCTCTTGGTGTTCTGACAGTGTTTTTGTGTATTGTATAGGGTGGGGATAGTAGGCGCATCGTGAATACGATCTAAATACTATTATCCATTTACACTCTATACAATTTTTCATTTATTTACACGACATTCCATAAAACTGAAAGCTATATCCCGTGAGTAGTGTAGATACTTTTTTTTTCGTGCATTTGAGTGGCAATCCTCCATTGGACTCTCCAGTCCCTTCAATTGTTTCTAGTAATTTCTTTGCATCTCGTCGTTGGGTTACAGTTCTGCTTTTAGGGGAAAGGAATCCGTTATGGCAGTTTCTACACAAGTCGGTGTCCCACTAACTTGCAGAAGATAATGTCCACTGTTCATAGTATGTGTACCTTTATGTATTCAACTCAACAGAACATTTTGGGTGTCCATCCTTGCAATATCCTTGTCGGAATTCCTGAAAAAGTATTTAACAAGAATATGATCCGAAAAATATTTGCTGCATTGTTCGTAAATGAGCAAGAAACAGTATTTGCTTAACCATGAATACCATGTAAAAAATTGTCATTGAATAGATGAGCAAGCTTTGGCTGTAAACGTGTTTGAAAGCAGTGAGATATCTCAAGATTAAAAAAATATATATTTTTTCAAGGCATTATGGTTACAGTTCTGCTCGAAAAAAAAAACAGACGGGATGGTAAAGAAACTATTAAACATTTCGAGGCACTAATGGGGGAATTACCTTGTCCGCTGCAGTGAAATCCTTGGCTGATAATATACAGCTCCCCCGTATTAAAACCCATAGGAACGAAAGCTTTCCCTAAACAAGTCGTCAAAAATACTTTGAGCAAACCTGGGGTTTACCCATTATCTCCAATCGTTATGATTGTATCCTCGTGTGTGTATCATCCATCACCTCACAGGAATACAAAATGCCAGTTCGCTTTGCAGCGTTCTCAAAGTGGGGAAAAAAAGTTAATCTGTTTTAAGACACTGACCCCTCCATGTGGGCGCCACTAATACTATCAAGTGAGGGAGACAAATAGTCTCCCAGGTTCTTTATTTACTTTTAATGCCTCCCATGCTTATTTCTGCGGCCTGACATTCCAGCAACTATTCTGTCCAAATGTGAATTTTGAAATTGCTTTCACGTGGCTCACTCTCTGCGTAAAATGTTTGCAAAATTCCATTGCTAATCCGACTTTTACATGCTCTAAATTCGATTTTTTTAAATTACATCCTGCCAACACCGAGCGGAGTCTATTTTTTTTGCACATGACATCTCGGGCGTAGCATTTAGATCTACCAAATCCACATCAACCCCAGATTAAAGAGTATTAAAAACAGATTTCTTCACTGACTTTGTGAGGAAATCACTTAATATTATTGCAATCTAAACCACATGGTGATTTTCAACCAATTTTCTAAACGTGGCGAAGTTCTTGTACATGAGATGTTCACGTGCAGAAAAGCATGAGACAAGATATCAAAGGATGGTATGCATTAAAAATAACTGAACCGGTGCATCTTTTGAGAGAGTGAAACGTAAAACTTTCGCTTATGCATCATCCTTCCTCGCCTCGGCACCTTGATTACCATCAAATGCAAGTTTTCCATCATTTTCGGGTCCGCTGCTCACAGGCTGTGGGGGTGGCCCCGAACATTGCAACAGCAAATGGAGGCGGAAGATGAGGCATGGCCAGAGGTGCCAACACTTAATTCAGGGTGGTTAAAAAGTCACGCATGCATAGGGAATTTGCAGTTATCTATAGGAACTGCTCATAAATGGACACCTTACTCGGCTAATGTCAAACCTAATGGCGCGCATCGCAGCAAGGGGTGGGTGGGGGGGGATATCGCTTCAAACTTCAACATCGTCTGCAATAGTTCATGGTCGAACCTAAAATGTACCCTTAAAATTACCTAATATTTTGATAAGAAACGAGAACAAATCACGGGACTGTTTCAGTATGTTGTACTGCTAAAATAGTGATATAGTCAATGATGGGTAACATTCTGAACACCATTTATGTTGCAAAATAAGTGCTTCTGATTTTTATTGTGAGAGGTGCTTTCAAAACATAAATAAATGCAGTCACAACTTCAGGATCAGCACTGTAATAATCTTAAAACTGCTTCTGAATGCTGGCAGCATTATAATTTAAAGATAGCTGTCGTTAACAAATTTGCAATTTGTATCGGGTGGTTAAGCACAATTGATTAATATCATTAGATACAAAGCTACCATTTTGAAAAGGAAACAGTATTTCTTTAAAAGTACATTACACTGCTAGCTTGAGCATTAATGTGGGAGCCGTGTCGCAGTATCGGTACTTTTTGGACGCATCTCAGATGTCTAGTCTTACGAAGGACTATGGAACCGCTGTTGAACGAGACGTTCGAATTTATCAATTATTTACAAATAACTTACCGAGTTTCTAAAGCTGTTAAGTACGTTCATTCTCCTATTCCTGCCTCCTGGGAAATGGTCGCGACATCAGCTGGAGCTCTTGCCGACGGCGGACACGCTTCGACCTGCAAAAACAGATGATAATTATGAATATAGCGTATGAATGCTAAAATATTTGGAGGAGCCACGGTGGGGAAATCGACTCAGTCTTAAAAGAAAAGCCGAATAGGGTTCAGGTTAGTAATTTTGTTCGCTCTGCATCGCTGAAAAATGATATTTCTCTGTTATGTGACCTTATATTATAGCAGGCACAAAAGCGCGTGTTCGTCGCCAATTCTGTAAGGTCTGAATCTTCGATTAACTTCTTTCAAGCAAAGCAGATCTCGTTGAAAACATTGGATACAATACCTTCCCACATTATACTAAAAATGTGTAATATTTCAAAGAACTTCAGCTACGGAAGAATAAGATATATTTAGACTGACTGCCAGCTCCCCTGCTGTCTGTCCTGCTTGTCTCTGTTCTATAATGGTCATCGATGTTTCAACATCAGCAATTTGCGAGTTATATTTCGTCGAGGCGACGGTAAGTCGCAATGCACAAATCGCCTGACTGCACAAGAACGAGAATGGTTCCACGGGGGGGGGAGGAATGGTGAAAAGTGCTCGCAGTAATACAAGTCTGGCTCTGTCTGTTTTCCCCCGAGGGGAGGGAGTAGCTCCGGCTTGCTATGGAAAGGCACAGGTGAAGTCGACACATCCAAGTTTTCAATCCATCTAAAAACAACCGGCGGAATGGCCTGCAAAGGAGAGCGTCCGCGTGCCGACCGGGAGGCCAGGGTTCAACCCTGGCCGCCGCCTCACCCCAGGCGTTAATTGGGTACACACTGTATTGTCCTCGCCTGGCGCTCGGCGTGTAAGGGATCAAGTGTGGGCAATTAGGGACCTCTCCCGAGGGAGAGGTCCCTAATTGCTTTCTTTCATTTTCACGTACAGCAATATTCCCGAAATATTCCGTAATGAGCGGAATATAATTGTTGTTTTTCCTCGTTGCGAAAAAATATATATGGAAGCCTGGTCTTTGGTCTTTCCCATTCTTCTGGTGAGGGATCAAATTTCACAAACCTGGTTCAAGTTTACAGGTTGTTCAACCATCTTGGATCTCACGAATCCTGAAGTATGATTTGATTGTCGAATGAAGGTAGAGCTAAGGCCCAACATCGTCAAATTCCATGGAATTTTCTAATATCTAAATTACGAAAAAAAAGGTGAATGGTCTCGGCTCTTTTCCTCGACCTCTTCAACGATTTTCCACGAAGAGACATTGTCATTCGCCATTTGAACCTTAGTCAATCTTGACTTATCACGAGCGAATCCCTCCTTTCAAACTTCAAAGAGAAAAAGACACTCGATCGCGGATTACCGGATTTCCGAAGCAGTAATCCTTGGATTCACGGCATTTCGGATGACCGTCAAAGTTCCTTCTTTTTGGTCTTCGAACATCTTGAAGACGAACCAATTTCTACTCTATATAGGTGATTCCATGTCAGATGGACCAATTTTCCCATGATTTCTTGGTTGGCCATCAGCGATTTGGCTGAAAATTGGTGGAAAGGTAGCGTTTGGCCCAAAGGCGGAGAAATCCAAATTTTTTTTTCTGTCCGTGGCGAGGTCACAAAATGTTGACCTATTTTAGCTGATCAGGCTGACCTCTATCAGACTTTCTTCAATAACTCCTTAGCTATTTGTCATAGAATGTTCCTTTTAAAGGTCTCTTTTAGCTCTATCTTGTGCATTTCCTTCCAAGCTCATATTCATGTAAAATCATTTTATATAAAATATCGAAGGCGTTTGACCTTTGACCCTTCATATAAAATACATAATGCTTAAAATTTACCAGATAACACGAAAATATGGTGAAGTTTATTCATTTTCAGGAGGATTTTTCGCCCCATTCTCGAGATATGTGCAAAATTGTGCTTTACATTTTCCGCTTTTGGGTGTATTAATTTCAGAAAGCTCCATATCGAATTGATTTCCTGCCTCAACATTATCAATGAGGCTGACTTGTGGTACAGGAATAGTTTGAATCAGCAGTTCTACTCCTTTTTTTAAATTTTTGAATCGTATGTTTCAATGTACAACACAGCAAGAAATATGAAATTTAGAAATTGAAGTGAAATGATGAAGGATTTCCTCTTATTTCATTTTTGCCATAGAACTGGTTTTGACAGCAGAGTAGATTCGGATTTGAAGGCAGTTCGCATCAATAGGCACTTATGAATAATGTTTCCGGGTTGCTGGAATGGGCTGGAAGGACTGGAATAGCTGCTGAAGTGTCTTCCCTGTTTCCTCGACAGCCTCCTTCTTTACTTGAACTGAATATTTTTCGTGCTGGCTTTTGCAAAGTAAAAAAGGTCCATTGCACTTAAGATGTGTCCTTTGGTCGCTGGATACTGGCCCTTGTGGACAGACGTTTCACAGTCCCACCAGTTTTGGTAGTTTCTTGCCTTCATCCATCATGGTCCATCATGGAAGATGAGACTGCGTCGATTTGTTCCAAGGTCGGTTT